TTCTCTTTGATTTTCCTCCAACGAGTTGTAACTATGCTTATGTAACAGAAAGCAGCCCCACAGGAAGGGATTAACCCCTTTATCCCCAAACTGTCAAACCTAATCACACAAACCTCACTCACATTGTAAGTGTTCAAGTACCTGTGAGTCCATACTAATCCACGTTTAATCCGCACACACACATTTTTGCTTCTTTTCGGCTTCATGAATTTACCTTTACTGTGCTTTCACGTCGCATTCATGCACCAGAGTAAAGAACGAGCAGGTAAACCAATTATGAGACTTGCAGTAAACAAGTTAACATTTGTTACGTCACCATGACAAGGCAGGCGCTCTACTCAGTAGCTTATTTGTTTTATATTTTGATGTTTCTCTTGTATCGGTTGACACGTTGCCTCTGTCTCAGGTATACGGGGAATACAGAGCCAGCCTCGCCTTTGACCTGGTCAGCAGTCGGCAGAAAAATGTGAGTGAAGCGGCTCAAATCACAGTAATTTAGGAAAATACAAATAAAAGGACAAGGTGCTGTTTGTGTTTTCTCTAATGAAAGACAACATTTTCTTCTGTATGACACTACATATCATCTTATTTCCTCTTTTTTTATTATATATACTAGTCCAAAAACAAAAGGCAGGTTAGCGTTTTGAATAGATTTCATAAACCCTCACTATAATACAAGGTATGGCCTGGACTGCATATTCAGTGCCTGAGTAAGTTGAGGGATGTCTCTCCATTCCTGAGTGCAGGCTGCAGCTGTGCACTGCTTACTTGTTGCGGCTGCCTCTCATGAATTTCAACACAGCATGTCCCCGGCATGCTCAGTAGGAGACCTTTTGGGACTAAATCCTGACTGGCGCCAGGACATGCTCCTGATCTACTGGCCACTGTGTGCCGGTAACAGCTGTAGGGTGGGTTGCTGCCGCAAGAATGGCACTGGTGCAGGTTGGGGCGCCTCATCTTGGTACCTCTGTCCGGTCACATTTCCACCACACTCAGAAGAGCTCAGACACGTGTGCCAGCATCCACCATTGCCAGTAGCCCTGCCTCATACACCTTGATTCAGTTGCAGCATGATACACTGATGACGGTGTTGTGCATATGTCCTTTTCTGTTATTGCTATTCACCTCTGATCATAACATCTGCTAATTATTGATTCTGATCCATCAGTCGGTGAGTAACGTTTAAACAGTGAATGAGGAACGTGTTGAAAGCACATCCAGCAGTTTTTCCTGATTTTTAGCTTATGGTTTCATTAAAAGAATGGACTGAGTTATCCATGAGTAAAACTGTGCTGCTTGTTGATGTTTTATATAACAATGTGTTAACTGTGTCTCCAGGCGTACACAGACTACAGTGACTCAGTATCCAGGAGAATGGGCTTCATCCCGCTTCCTTTAGCGCTGCTGGTCAGTCGTTCTTTCACAGGATGGCTTTTGATATTGAGATGTTTGCTCCCACGTTTGCTTGCTTATAAATGTGACGATGTTTTTTTCAGCTGATCAGAGTGGTGACCAGCTCAGTGAAGATCCAGGGGTCGCTCTCGTTTATGTGTGTGCTGCTGTTTTACTTGGGGTAATTGGCCAACATGTCTTCATCATTTTTGATTATTTTCTTGACACTGTTTGTTTTCATGTTCACGTGACTTTTGCCTGTCTGTGTGAGCAGGATGATCACTCTGAAGGTTCTCAACAGTATCGTTCTCCTGGGAACTTCCTGTGTGTTTGTCAAAGAGGCCAATATGGAGGAAAAGCTCTTTAACCCTCCGCCTTCTGTCGCCTCCAGCCGTGCAAACTCTAGAGCTCACCGGACAAAACATGTTCACGTTTCACCGCAGCAAGGTAGCTCAGTCACTCTGTCTCACTGTCTCTTTTCCTGAGTTTAACTGCTGCTAAAAACTCTTAACTTGCTTTATAACAGAATCCACAGCTGACAAAGGAGAAACTTCTCTGCCGTCAGACATCTGTCAGCCCACCAACACAGCAGAAAACGCTGCCCCCTCCTTCCCGAAGAGTGACTCAGACACATTCCTGACGACTCCTGACGAGGAGGACGATGACAAAATCATCAACGCTGACACGGGACTGGAAGGAGGCGGACTTGCACACCGACCACCAAAGAAAGACCTGCTGGAGATAGATCGCTTCACCATCTGTGGCAACCGAATAGACTGAAGGACCAGTGTAGCAATCCTGGCAACACTACAGGGTTCAGGGATCAGACATGGGTCATGGAGCATGCTCAGACCGTACTTACTTTTGTGCACCTGACCCCTCAAGTATTTATTTATTTATTGACTGACAAAACCAGCAAAGGCATAAAGCTGTTACTACAAGCATCCGAGGCGGCATCAGACGTTTCCAGCTGGTCCTGCGTGTGTCTGATGAGCCAAGCGGGCTCTGGCACTGGGTCAGAGGCCTGGCGGTGACGCACTCGCTGATGAAGACAGCATGTAAAACACGGGAGGAGCAGACTACAGAGAGAAATCTGCGTATGTCAAATCACGTGTGTTCAGAAGCACAATCAGTAAGAAGCTGTTTTTAGAAAGAACAAAAGTTTTTACTAGTTTTTTTTTAATTATTCCAAAAAAAAAAGGCTGATGATATTTGAAATGAAGTTTTTATGACAGGTTTCAAATCTTTTTTCTAAATTGAATCACAATCACATGGAAGGATTCAAATCATGAAGTTATTCTGCAGACAGAAGCTAACACACACACACACAGAGGTTGATCTGAGGTGATGAGGTGAGCTGCAGTCCCAGCAGGTTAAATATGGCAGCAGTGACACTAAGAATGGCTTTGCTTGGCTGCATCAGCTTCAGTTGTAATGTTTGGTTTGGTAACTTAAGAGATATAAAAAGTTGGAAGGCTTAATGTCATTTGTGTTGGTATTACCTTAAAGCACTGAGATGATGGTGCAGATTTGTATTTATTTTGAGATGGCCTACCAGGCCTGACAGGTGTGACTTATTTATGTGCTTAATTTGTACCTTTTTCATTGAAGCATGTGGCCTACAGATAATAGTGGCGACACATCACAGCCATATAACATTTTCTTCTGTTTGCTTTTTGATGTTGGAAACTGATCTGACATGTTTTCTCATTCCTTGCTATCTGAGTGAGAGTGGATGTGAAAATCACATGAAATGCTTCGTTGTATGCTGATTTCTTCATAATCCAGGCCAAAACTAGCTTGTCAATGAACAAAGTGCAGGTTTTCTGTGTTGAAGCTAGTTTATATCTTTTTATGCAAAACGATGGATTAAGATTTTTCTGGGGAAGGAAGTAAAGAGTTACTACAAGGATGGGTTCTGGCTGCGTGGAAAGAGAATTGCAACTTGGGCTTGCTACATCTTTGACTCCAAAAGGTCTGAGCAGGAGGAACGCAGGACTAAAAACTGATCAGGCACAGTTCGGTCCTTAATTTGCTGGACAGTGACACAGTTTTTGTAGTTTGAGAGGATTTAAATCAAACAGTGAAGATGTGACTGAAGTGCAGACTTCAAACCTCAGTTCAAGGGGATTTACAAAAATGATCCATTAACTGTTTGGGAATTAGAGACATTTTTATGCAATACTTATACAAATTATAGACCCAACTGTTGAACAAGATTTTTTATCTTAACTGAGACCAGTGAGGGTCCATGAGGGGCACAGCCAGGGGCCAAGTCCAGTCTCACTACAGGATCATGGTCCGTACAGTGAAAAAAATAGCTGTATACTGCTGGAAGGAGGAGTGTGAATGCAGCATTAGTGTGTGTGTGTGTGTCATATGTGAGGTATTTTTCAGCATGTGGATGGATCTCTACCTAAAAACGGACAGTGTATGAGTTTTTTTTTTCTCTTCCATGTACAGCTCATTCGTGTAATGTATCTCCTTACGTGGTAGAAGGAGAATAAAACAAGACTTTGTTTTGTAAGTTTCTGGTGTGATTTTGTGTGTGCGCGCATGCGTTTCAGTGAAAGGAGTCGATGCCCCCCCCTGTTAACCAGGCAAACACTGCAGCCCACTGTTCCCCTTGAATGGACATTTAGAGGGGGTGTATGTCATCACACACAGGGGTAGGGTGGGGGCTTTTTGCCAAAGGTCCAGCTCACATAAATGGTCTGGCTACACGACATCCCTGATTGTGTCGACATATTTCAGGTTTTTCCACATTTAACCCATCCGGTGCCACATAAAAGCTGCATGTGAGATGAGAGAGGACGAAAGAGAGCACTGACTCATGAAGCCATCAAAGCGGTTTTTAAAGGCTTAACCAGACTATACTGTTTCCGTTAAACTCAATGCTTTGTTTCCACACTTTCTTGCCAAGTCAAACCTTGCATCTTTTGCCAGATGTTCCCGTTGCTGAACTATCTAACAGACAACTGCTAAGTGTCCAGACTCACTTTTACTCACAGAGGCCCAAGGTGTAGCCAAGTCAAACAGTATTTAAAACAAGATTATTCTGAACTTCTGAATCATGCAAAGCTACTTTAGCAGGCTCAGACTAAATGTATCAAGCTTGAAACACGTTCATACACAAAAATATCTCCCCATGAACCAAACCCTTCAAAATGATGATTGTTGGATCAACTGCAGGGTCAAAAAGCTCAAAATTTATACCAGTTGCGTTATTGGCTCAGATGTTGAAAGCAGAATTAATTTTAATTCCTGAGAGAAAAAGAACACAAACCAAAGCCAAATAGTAAGACATTAGTATGAATAGCAGAGGCAAGATTTATGATTTTTTTTAAAAACATTTTTGGTTTTTATTCACTCATTTTGTTATTTTTAGTTAACAAAAATCTCCACACCTCGTTATATTTTACTGTATTGACTCTGTCCTGGACAAACAAACAGCCTGCTTAAATCCACCTTTTGGTTTCCTGTTGTGAAGTCAGCGGGCGTGCTCAGCTGACCCTCTCTGAACCTCTGCTTGAACAGTACACCTGGGGATGAGAGAGAGAGAGAGAGAGAGGGTGACAGGTGGCTGGTCAGAGCGGTGTCGCGCGCCACAGATGCTCCCGACCAGCTTTCAAACGCGCGCGAGCGTGCTCGAGCCTTTTACGTGCACGCGAGATTAGGCTGCTCGCAGGACGAAGCCGGTGAGAATGTGTGAGCGCTCGTCTTCGGCCGCCGGAGCCCCGGGAAGATGTCGGTGATGACTCCGTACCGGGAAACCCGTAGCTAACGGCTGCTACTCCTGCGACCATTGGATGTTGTTTTTAAAACTTTTCCTTAGGACGGTTGTTTTTGCGGTGTGGGGATAAAAAAACACCACCCGGAGGGACAGGTGTCACCCCCCTTCTCCCTCCAGTTTTGTGTTTCCTTTCCCCCTCATACTTTTTTTTTTTTTTTTGGAAACCGAGTGGGACCTTGGGGTGCCATGCTGTGGACACGCTGGCTCGTGCTGCTGCTCTGTTGGGGGGCCACAGGCAGCGAGCAGCAGGCGGATGAGAGGGGCGCGGTACCGGCTGAGGTCCGGTCGGACTCCCGCAGAGAGCGCTCACCTCCGCCGGTGGAGCCGCTGGATTTTGGGTTTGTACCCGCGGCGGTTTACGACACCCACGCTTATTACGAGCCAGGGAGCATGGGGATCCTCTTCCATATGGTCCACGCGTTTCTCTACATCATTCAGCCGAACCCCTTTCCCAAAGGTGAGATTACCGACACCTCCCCACCCGTGTTTCCTATTCCCAGGACGTTGTCTTTACGGTGCACCACCACTAGTTCAACTTCAACGTTAGTGCGGCTCGAACAGGTGCGACCAATCACATTTAATTAGGCTACCTGAGGAGAAAGTTCAGCAAGTATTTTTAGCACCCGGTTTATAATCTGTTATTTACAGCAGCAGAACTCGTTATGACCACAAACTTGACTCAACCTTACTTGTCATCCAGATGCTGCTGTACAGATGCTCAGTATACACATGTTTATGCATATCTGTCTATATATGAAATACAAGTGCACAGTCCATTTAAGTAAGAAGTGCATTACTTGTCAGTGTAATCACAGTCACAATCACAGGACATGAGACAGAGAGATACTTTATTGTGTGCAATAAGTGTGCAATTGTGGTGGGAAAGTGTACAATTGAGAATGTGTGTATGCAGGGTTTCTCTTGGCTGAAAGCAGGCTTTCAGGGATGAAACTCTATTAGTCTGCATATGAATAAGCTAATTAGTTTGCATAACCTTACTTAATAGATGTCTATGGATTTTTCTCGTATTTTTATCCATTTGAAAATCAAAAAAAATGTTTTCTGATTGGGTAAATTCAACCACATTTAAAAAAAAACTAATTATAAATAGATACAGCTATTTTAAACATATTTTTACATGAAAGAAAAATATTGATATGCATTTCAATATTAAAGCAAGTAAGTAAAAAAGAAAAAAAGTGGACCATTGTTTTTCCATTTAAAGGTCTGGGTCCACACAAGCTATAATTCATGTGAGAATCTAAAAATATATATATCCTGATTAAACAAAGACATTTATTTTTAGACTTTGATTCTCCTCACTGCCCATGTTGATGCCATGATTTGTTTTAAGGCATTGAACGTCAGGCAGCTCACAAATCACTGACTTGGCTTAGAGGTCGGGGACCTGACTGGACTGTTGTACGTCATAAACCAAATGGCAAAGTCCAAATAAACAGTAATAACCTCAACAAGGCTGCTGTGGCGCGAGTTATTTGTGCTGTGCTGCTGTGTCTGTAACCCTAAACCCAGAGGTAAACCTGTGCCATGTCATCGTTATCTAATTTTAACACTGCTGCCACCCCCCCCCCCCCAAAAAAAAAATAAAATTCAAATTCCTCAAACTCATAGAGCACAAAGGGGGTGGTATGCTGTGATGATATGCGATTGTTGAGCAGCTTAAAGGGATCCATAGCTGTCATAAGTCATGAATGATCTCCTGCAAGCCCATGCTCCAGGTGATTCATAGGTGGTCACAGGATCAATAAAAACAATGTATGTTGCTCTGTTGTCTTTGTGATGAAGGCCAGTAATCCAGTGATCACATCCCATCAAAAACAGTTTGTTTATGTGGTGTATGTGCAACTATGGGTGGTCACGTTGGTGGATGACACACAGCAATTGGATTGAAGGTTTTAAGTTGCTGCCATTTTGGTGTCCAGGGTTAGGGCCGCTGGCTGGCTAATCAATTAGCAGATCTGCGATTAAGGGAAGCTTTCCCAGTCACCTGCATCACAGCATAATACCTTAATCTGCTGCACCATATGCTGCTATTCCATTCCAGTATGACTCACTATCACACACACACCGGTAGCCCACCTGGATGCCACATCATCTCCCTGTACGTATATGTATAAATGCTTTACACGACCTGAGCCTGGTAGACAGTGGCAGGTGCATGTGTTCATTTGTGGTGAATGCAACACTGTCAAGCAAAACTGTTATGAACATTAAATCAGAAGAAGGTGCCATATATATGTTTTGTTCATTTGCTTCTAAAGCTTCCAATTTCAAGCTTACAGTAGGGGAAAAATTATTGAACACGTAAATATATTTCTAAAGGAAATTCTCACAAGATGTCTGTAACAACCCATCCAGCCCACACATGCAATGAAATCAAACCATAGATGTACATAAATTATGTGTAATAATGAGAAATGATAGAGAAAAAGACATGGAAAGTCATGACACCAGCTGAAATTTGTCAGTACTTACATAAATGATATTGATTGGCCACCTGGTTCAATTCTATCTGAAGGCCCATAAAAAGCTGTCTCATTACTAAGGTATCATACAAGAAATATGTCATTATGGGTAAAACTAATGAGCTCTCTCCGTGAGCACTGTTGGGGCCGTAATCAGGAAGTGAAAAGAACATAATTTCACTATGAAATTGCCATGACCAGCTACTCCCTGCAAGATTTGGGACAGACGAGTGAAAACAAATATCAGAAGAGTTGTCTATGAGCCAAGGACCACTTGTGGAGAGCTACAAAAAGACCTGGAATCAGCAGGTACAATTGTTTCAAGGAAAGCAATAAGTAATGCACTTGACTGTATGCACACTCACCTTGCAATACTCTATTCGCAAAGAAAAGGCATGCTGAAGCATGTATGCAGAACAACATTTAGACAAGCCTGTAAAATACTGGGAGAATATAGTCTGGTCAGATTAGACTACGATTGATATCACTGGAGGCCATAATACACAATGTTCAGAGGTCAAAAGGCAGTGCATATCACCCCAGAAACACCATACCAACAGTGACGTTTGGAGGTGGGAGTATCACAGTGTATGGCCGTTTTCCAGCCTATGGCACTAGCACACTTCGTCTAATTGAAAGAAGGATGAATGGAAAAATGTGATGAGACATTCTTGATAAAAATCTTCTTCCGTCTACCAGGAAATGACATTTCAGGACATTTGAAAGACATTTCAGGAAGCAATGATCACAAACACAGCCATGAAACTCTCAGCTGGTTTCAGAGGAAGAAAACAAAGCTACTAGAATGACCTAGCCAATCTACAGAAACAAATAAAACTCAGAGTTCATAGAATGGGTCCACGAAACCTCCAGGATTTGAGGACTGGCTGTAGGGAAGAACTGGCTAGAATCACACCCGAGCAGTGCATGCGGCTAGTTTCTCCATACATCGTGAAGCTGTGATCACCAACAAAGGGTTTAGTACGAAGTATTGAATACATTTCATTAAACACTTTTTCCTGTGTCGTTTCTCATTATTACATGTAACCTAATTTATAGACATCTATAGCTTGATTTCCTTGCATGTGTGGATTGGATGGGTTGTTACCGACATTAGGTGATCATTTCATGTCAATATCATCTTTAGAAATATAATTACTTAGAAATTTACTGATGTGTTCAATAATTTTACCCACTGTAAATGCTTTACACATCCTGATCCTCTGAGGTAGTGACCAGTGCATGTGTTTGTTTCAGGTGGTTGCAAAGCTGCCACAATCCCTAAATCAAGAGAAGGTTCAATAAAATACATATTTTTAAGCCTCCACGAAATATTTTCTCATAAGAAACGATAATTAACGAATATTCCTTTATCCTTAAAAAACATATTAACTGATGTCATGATATGCAGATAACCTTGATATTTAAACCTAAAAATGTGAAAAAATTATAATATGGTTATATTAATTGTAATATTATAAATAAATAATCCAGTAGTGTTGCTTGAATTCCAGAATCCCTTCCATCTTCCTTCACTGAAATTTGAATGATATTAGTTTTTACAAATCAAAAGAGAGACAAAACATAAAAGAACTTTAAGATACATTGATTTTTCTTTTTTCTTTTTTACATTTCTATGGACTTGAGAGATACTGATAGCTTTACTCCCATGTGGGTTAGTTGAGGGTAGTCTAATTTTTGGTATTAGCGATCCCTACATTCAGATAAATTGCTTTTAACATAAGTTATGAACAAGGCTAATTTCATTAGCCTTTTGTATAATTTTTTTCATGTACTAATAGAAGGAAGTAATAAAAATAATGTGCCGAGAGGCTGAAAAAGTTTGTCTTAAACAAAATAAAGTCCTAATAAACATAAAAATTTATGTTCATCTGAGAAACGTGTTTTTCACATACTTGGATGTGTCATGACGTTACAGTTGAAGTAATACAGTTGTGTAGTGTTTTGTGGTCTTTCCACATGGAAACACCTTTTATGTTTGCACAGCTACATTTAAAGACTGTAGCACATCTGCTGTGTGGTCAAAAGAAACACCACATGTGATCTGAGGGTAAAGTTATTTGAAAAAATGAATTATTAGTATTAGTATCTGTAAAGCTTATACATTTTATTTTTTTAAATAAAATACTGGCAAGTATTTCCCTGTATTTTTCCAAAGTGAGAATTGCCAGGAAAGCAAGGGGTGGGAATCAGTCTGGTTATGAATGCATCTTGATACAGCAATGGGACTGAAAAATCTGAATTCAAAGAGTAAGAGGTGTGTTAAACATTGTGTAACTAACTGTATAACAACTAAAAAGAAAAAAAAACTCTTAAAATGCCAAAAGTATTTTTCAACTGTGTGGGGTAATCAGTCTGTTCACTGAGTGAGACAGCTGAATTAATTTGATTTATTGGCAATCTGATTCACTGATTCACTTCCTCCTGCTGCCTGCTTGTTCTTCGCCTCCGTTCAGAGCAGTTGACAACTTTTTGAGTAAGTTTACATTGTTCCATGGAGTCCTGCACTAAACTCTATGTGTCCATGTTTTCTGTTGTGCTGCAGTGCATGCTTATGTGCTCAGCTTAGATGCGGTCATCGTTAGTTGTTGCAGAGGTGGCAGGTTTGTGTTCGGCTGCAGTGTTAAAGATGAGATTTGTCAGGTCTGTCAGAACATTGAAAATTAATCAGTAAAGAGTTAATCAGTGTAATGTGGCACAGTTATCAGACTGTGTCCAAATCCCCATAAATCCCCTCACTTTGTAAATTTCATTTATTTTTGGCGATTCCAGCAGAACTGTTTGCATATGAGTGTTAGCAGAGAATAAAACATGTGTGCTTAGGTTCAGCGGGGTATCAGCATTTCCTGACACTGGGTTTCCTCTGGGACTCACTCATCCCTTTTTCCACTAACAGTGAAGAAGCATTTTGGGCTCTTTCACTGAGTGTGGAGGCAGCGTCTTATCCCTCTGATACACACAGGCTGGATTAGAGGATTAGCATCCACAGGCTAATGCTAACACTGTCCTGCTACCACTGCTGCAGATGGCATTGTCACACACACACTCACAACTTTGGGTAAATACATGCACAGGCGTGTGCACACACAAATACCGAAAGTGGGTCATAGTCCTGGTGTTTGTCTGCTTGCCTTAATTACTGTGATTGGTTGTGGGAATGTTTACCAAGCGTCTTAAATTAGATCACTCTGAAGAGGAACTCGCACATTTTGGAGAATTAAATTATTTAAAATCCTGCATTTTAGCATCTGAGACTGTAGACACATTTTCTGCAGTTTCTGTCTGCCTCTTATGTATATTAACAAAAATAATTATTTCCAAGCACCGTGTTTGTGAATATTAGCTGATGTTCTTATCTTTGAATGTTTGGGCAGCTGGATATCGACAGCTATTTAAATAAATTAGCTTTGTTTTTAACTTTTCTTTTAAGGCCATTCATTTTCTTGACTTCTCATCTAATTCTGTAACACAAGAAGCAACCTTTAGAACAAGCCTTTTGAAGGGCTGGCATACACACAGAGACTGACAACCATTAATGTGATGATTCTCACCTATGGCCAGTTTATAATCACCAATGCAAGTCTTTGATCTGTGGGAGGAAACCAGCTTTTATTCATAATTTCACTTGATAATTGAGTTCATCAAGGAAATGTTGAGTAATACATTTTAAATTCAAATTCTTTGTCTTCATTTCTCATCTCTTCAAATGTGAATCTGAAACAGGTCTGAGTGTGTTGTACAAAAGCATAAAAAGACATGGCACATAATCCTCTTAGTAGTTTTGCTGTAGCAAACAGTTGGCTCTGACTTCCTTTAGTGTCTCATACTGACATGAAGTACAGCGCTTAATGGATTGTGTAACACTCATTAAAACCCATCATTTATTGAAAGTAACAAAAGTTCTCTGTTTTTGGAAGATCTTATATCACGATAGCAACACCTTTTCCATTGCAACCCAGGCACCGATGCACTTATATGCAGTAAATGAGCACTTTTGAATTTCAGGGACTCAAAAGGAAAAGAAATTGAATCAAGTCAGTGTCTGTCTATATGTTAGCTCTTGGTAGCTGCTAATATTGGAAGCAGCTGTTCCTAAAGTGGGGGTTGGTCAGGATGAAGGAGTTGGATAATAAATCTTGGGGGAAAAGACAAGAAAACATGGTTGGGACTGATTACATTTCTTATTGCAGATTTCCACTATAGTCGTCTTATTCACCAAAGCAAAAGTATATAATACTAACAAGCGCTTGACGAGCTTGGATTGCTTTAGATGGCTAAATTTAAAAACCCTCTGATCAAAAATAAAAAACTTTCATACATAATGGTGAACGTGAGTCTATTATTTTGTTAACTGCAACACAAAGGCAAACAGTTATGAATAGAAACTGACTAATATAGTCGTTAAGTGTATGATTCATGCATGCAAATGTCTCCTAAAAGCATCAGAGGTGGTGGTTGGGTTGCATAAGGTTTTGCCCACATCTTCCAGTAATCTCTCAGAGCAGGTCAGTGTAGAGGATTGTGTTTACCTACATTTACAGATTACAGTAAGATGGTTGTAAATTCTGATTTGTAGATCAGATTAGCTAACTAGAGGGTTTATTTTTAGATTTTTATTTTTATTATAATTTATTTCTGATCTTACCTGTGTCTTTCTTGCAGTTCTGATGCACAACTGCCTTTATAGTGTAAGAAAAACACTCAGGCCAGGCTGGGATTTATTGAAATGTCTTTAATTAAAAACAAAATATTCACTAACTACACTAAAAGCAATCAAAAGCTTCTCTCACAAGACACTAAAAGCAAGAAAATGGTAATTTTTCTATTTATATTTGCTCATTTAAAAAAAAAAAAAAGAGTTGTTTTCCTCGGGGACTACTGAGGTTGTATGAGATCATGTTGGGCAGTGGTCTGTTCATCCTTTTAGGTATAAGTCTGATGCTTGTTTATCCCTTCTCTTCCTTTCATTTCCCGTAGGTAGCTCCTATACTGGGTCACTGAACTAAGCTGTGTAAGCTTAACTGCCCTCAGTGGCTAATGCTAACTAAGTAGCTGAGCAACAGCAGGTGGCACTGACCCTACTGTGAGGTGCTCATATGCTGCATCTGCAGAGTTAACCAGTAAAGATGTCTTCATACTTTGTGACAGGCCGGTCAGTGTTAGCAGCATTTTCACAGAGATTAGAGAAACAGAAATGCGAGTCCCCTCCCACCACGAGCAGAAACACAGTATTGGGTACTGAGAGGATTATCTGTGTGGTTTCAAAAGAAAAGCACACATCACTGTTACTTTTGTTTGACTGAGCAGAAATGTTCAGGAAGTCTGAAAATGCAAGAAGAAAAAGACAGTTTGTTGCCAGTCAACAAAAATAAATGCATAAAAAATTAATTTAAACACAAAAAAACAAAATGTTCTGTTCAGTAATCTGGAAGATCTGTTCCTTTGTTTTGATAGTACTCAATACAAGATCTAGGATAAGGTAGCTAATTGATTTGTTGATTCATAATTAACTCTGTCAAAAATTTCTAGCACGAAATGTAAAACATTCTCTGATTGGATGGATTTGCTGCTTTTTTGTGTGTGTGTGTGTGTGTGTGTGTGTGTGTGTGTGTGTGTGTGTGTGTGTGTGTGTAATTCTCCATGTAATTTAAAGAAACCGCCTCAGACTCACAAAAGTAATTTTCTGACATGTGATCAATTAAATCTGCTATGAAAACAGACATTACTGCGCACTTTCCACGGGAAAGAAAGAGAAATTAAATGTTTGGTAAGCTCGGTACAAACAGAAGATTAAAACCATGTAGACACTGTGAAGTGCACTTTATCACCTCAACTGATGATCAGCAGGTGTGCAAGCAGAAGCTTGAACCAGAATCTGTGTGTGTGTGTGTGTGTGTGTGTGTGTGTGTGTGTGTGTGTGTGTGTGCGTGCGTGTGTGTGTGTGAGGGACATCTATTTGCTAAACTGGTCTCCATCTGCTTGTTGTGTGCAGTGGCACATGACACGGTACTAATCTGAGAAGCTCTGCTGTGAGATAATATTAAGTTAAACGACAGAAAAAAAGGGAAAAGGTTGGATATTTTTCTTTTTGGGAAAATAAACAACTTTGCCAACATTATGTTGACCTTATTATAGTTTTCTTTAAAAAATGCTTTTTGTTAACTAAAATAAAAACTTGATTTTTCTGGTAAAAATAGCAAACAGTGTTGTGCACTAACAACAAAGTAAAAGTAGTGGAAATGCTCTCACTTTTAGTTTCAGCCCAACCGGCACAAGGACTGATTTTTAGTCCGATTGTTTTTAATCCCTTAATGAGTCTTCACCCAAATTATGCTCAAGATCGTATTTTTGTTGTTTCCTAGGAGCTTTTCACCATTTTCACAAGAACACTCCTCCTCCTAGAGTACTGGTCAGATTTTAGTGAAACAAGATATGACTGTTTACAGGACTCCTTCACTTCTCAGTAGATTTTAATTCTCATTAGTTTGTGCAATACTTGAAAAACATAACTTTCCTTCTGTACTTCACATTAGGGTTGCCTGGGAGTTGTACTGGATCATGAGCTACTATGTGATTGAAATGTATCAGCACATGCCGAACAAGGCCCAGATGCAAATGTCTACCGAGATTTGAGATCTCTAGACGACTGAGAGTCAGCTGCTTTCATAAAGTGTTGTTTTGTTTTCTATTGTACTCTGTATGTCTAATAGGTTGCCCATGACAATCACCTGTCATATTAGAATAATTAAAGACTAAACCCTACACTGAAAAGAATACAAACTAAACCCACTCCGGAGACTGTCTGGAAACAAAAACTTTAAACAGAAATAAAAACTAATAAGAAAAATGCAAAACTTTAATAAAGCCGTTTGAGTGTTTGAGTTAAATAATGTGTGTAAACGACATTTGTATCTTTTTGAAGTGAGACCCGAAAAAAGAAATTGTGAACTACTGATTTAATGTGAGAAATCTGGCAAACAAACGCTGTAAAGTCATTTAATTGTACAACTTTAAATAACCTCTGCTGAGTTGTCAAATACAGTATTTTGATGTGAGTGTGTTGGAACGCTTGGATGTGATTGTATCTATACGTGGCACAGATATCCTGCTTTTAATGCTGTCAAATAGGCATACATGTAATATGTATGTGTGAGCTTGTGTCCATAGAAGCATATCGTAATCATCTTTTACATGCTGAGTAACACTGCTGTGAGTCACACTGCAGGTAGGCTTAGCGCTGGCTGACCTATATACAGTAAACACAGACAGCTGGACTGAACTGAAGTCACTGGTGACAAACTACACAATTCAAACTGCTCCCGTTAAAACACTGAAACACGGTCTCAGTGCTGTCCTCTCCTCGGAAATTAAAAAACGATCCCACGTAATCCGCGTTGTCTGCTTGTGAGCACATAAATGGATTCTTTTTTACCCTCTCCAACTTTGCTTGTCATCACGTACCTGCCTGTAAATCACTGAAACACAGCATCTACTCTGTGCGGCAGCTTTTCTGTATGTAAGCACTCGTCTGTATGTGTGTGTTCTTTTTTTTTTTGCAGATGTCATTGTCAAAGTCATTCAGCAAAACATGGGTGGAATCAAAATAGAGGAATGGAGAAAGGTATGTTAAGTGTTAAAATTACTGGCAAATGGTAATGAACTGGTTCTTTTATAGTGCTTTTCTGTTCTACTTGAATACTGAGAGCACTTTGTAAAACGTGCCTCATTCTTACAAGCACTTGCTTTTTACACTGAAGTGCTTTATAACTTTCCCATGATGAATGGATCAGGGTTCAGTATCTTGCTCAAGGATGCTGAGGTATGCAGACAAGAGCAGCCTGGGATCCAACCATCAACCTTCCAATTAACAGATGACCTTCTCTACCTCCCGAGCTGTAGCCACCCCAATTACCCTCCACAGAACCCCCACATGTTCTTCTGATACAGTAACATATTTTGAATGGATGTTAGACCATTGAGTTTCTAAATTGTGTACTTGCAGGTTTTTGCAATTGTATTGGGGGCACACTGCTCACAAATTACTAGTAGATGACACGTCACTGTGAAGTATAATTTAAATTTAATTTAAATCTTTAAAAGAAGCACTATCTAATTTTATACTTACACAAAACAATTGAGCAGTGTATGAAAAAAACATGTTTTGTGTCTCACTTTAAAGTTTATTAGTTTTATGTGTTTGGATAATTTTAATGAAATTAAAATATCACTTCACAGAAGGAACCACAAAGTGACTGTGTCACATCATGAAAAACTTTATTCATTTAGAAATGAGGATTCTCCTTTTTTTAATCCCTCTGTTGTCACATTGACCTGGTTTGCATGTCTTCTTTTTGTTCATGCTTGTGTGATTTCTGCACACCTCCACATCTGGTTTGGTGCTCCAGCCAGAAAACGTCGTCTTGTTGTTGCAGGTAAACTCCTCTCAACACAGCTTTCACTGCATATCTCTGTCAAAAGTAAAGGGCAGAGAGCAGATTGATAACTGGGTGAATGCTCTCCTCCCGCAGTGGATCCAGTACGAGTCCGGATTTCTCATATGTGCAACCTTCGGCGTCGTGTTTGTGGTCCTTATCCCCGTCATAGCTATGTGTTTCTGCATGTGTCGATGCTGTGATAACTGTGGAGGGGAGATGCATCAGAGACAGAGGAAAAATGCAGACTGTCACAGAGGTTTCTATACCGCCTCGCTGGTTGCTACAACCATCTTCATCATGTGAGTCGTCATTCCTCTTCTTCACAGTTTTTATCATTATCAGTCTGCTATACTCCAAAATGAGGATGATTTTAATGACACTGGTTCTCCTCTACTTTGATTTCTGTATTGCGAAGTACCTGTAAGATTTCACCTTCTGCGGTGATTTGTTATTTTTGCATATTTGTCACACATCCACACTTCAGATCATCAAAGACATTTTTGATGATTAAAAATGATCACAGTAACCAGAATAAACACAAAATGCAGATTTTAAATGATTCTTTCAATTTTTAAGGGAAAAGGCTATCCAAACCTACCTGGCCCTATGCAAAAAAATCATTGCCCCTTTTCTAAATCATGAATTAACTCCAATGAATCACATTGGAGTATAATTTCATTAGTCATTTCCAGCTATGATTATTGCCAGACCTGCTGAATCATGAAATCATTTAAACACTTGTTTAAAGCACCTGTTTTTGATACAACTGTGTAAACATTAGAAAATTTAAATTTTATTGTTGTAATTTTAATATGTTTGTCAGAAACAGGTCTCTTTTGTAAATGAGACATTGATTCTCAAGGGGAGTACCTGCATAAATAGAGGTTAAATAGAAATAAACAGAATCTGCCTGACAAAGTGAAGTAGACTAAAAAATCTGAAAAAGCAACACATCATACCACGATCTAAAGAAACTCAAAAACAGCTGAAAAACAAAGTCATTGACATATGTCAGTCAATAAACAGATGGAAACGGCATCTACAAGCCTGATTGCTCATTACTGCTTTTGTTATCTGTTGAAGTTCAGGGTCTGGTTGCTGGGCTGAGGTCAGCATTCAGTCAGCTTTATAGCATCACTCTGGGTTCTTGGCTAGCTTAGCATTAGCATGCTGTCTGTGCAGGTGCTTGCAAGGAGCCGAAGTTGTGTTGGCAGCATAATGCGTTTTTTTTCTGACCTGGATGCAGTTTCCACTTTACCATCGTGCTCTTGTCCTTTTGTGTAGTAAAACTAAATGTAATGACTATATCCAGGCTGTAGACTGTACCACTATCTTCCATCTCCGGCACACAAACTGAAATTAGCTGATTGAACTGCTGCAGAAACCGGTAAATGGTATTGATAGGCAAACAGACTAACAATTCCAAAGAATTTGACTACTGGGAAACGGTTCTTGTACAGAACTGGTTCTCGATTCCCATCCCTGCCAGCAAGCTCACCTCTGAATGGCTCAAAAATCATATAAGAGGCCATTCATGCTTGAAAACCCTCAGATGTGACCAAATCAAAACAATTAAATAAAGAAGGGTGGGCCAAATTCCTCCACAGTGATGTGAAAGACCCATTGCCATTTATCACAAACACTTGATTGCAGCTCTTGCTGCCAAAGGTGCCACAACCAGTTATTAGGCTTAGGGGTCAAATTACATGGTGCCAGGTAGGTTTGGATAGCTTTCTTCACTGCATATGAACCCAAAACGTTACACAAGTTATCTGTTTTCTCAAATAGATTACAACCTACAAGCTAAAAGACTATCAGGTGTCATGCCAGACTATTCGTTAAAATTAGTTACGACTTAAAATATGAACAAAAATGCTCCTGAAAGCAGTCTGACCAAAAAGTTAACAACCCTTGTAATAATGAACAGATCTCAGCAGGTCGATGTTGGCGCCACATATTTACACGTATAATTTTTCACATATGTAAAAATGCTTTCCTTTATGTGGGGTAAAAAAAAAAGTCCAATAACTTTATTTGCTCATATGCAGAGAGCATGCGGAGTACCTGCTGTGTGGCAGAGGCAAGCCCACTGAAATTTGATTTAAATGTGGAGGACGGTTATGTGTTACCGATATTACTTGGCTGACCATGAGAGGCCTCGCTATCTGAATGAGTCCTTTCACAGCACAAATGTGAATGCTCACATCCAAAGAACAATATAACCAGTTGGTTGCTTTTGTTGATTTGTTTTTTTACTGTTTCTACATTGTTTTTGTTTGTTACAGAAAGTCTAAAATATCACTACTGTAAAACTAATAAGGTGTTTTTGCAGTGAATCACAGTGAATTCTAACCACATAATCCTAATGCTTAGCTTCACTTTGCATGTTTAGCTTGTACACTCAGCCGTACAGTTTTTCTTACATCACTAACTGTGGAGGGCAGAGTTGAATCTTCAGTGAGCAAGAATTAAAACTCATAATGCAGGAGTCCCCATTATGTAGCTGTGCTGCTCTCTGCTGTTAAAGTGTGGTCACTGCACTGCTCTTCTCCTAATTGATCCTGCATGTGTTTTTCAGTGTGGGTGTTCTCATTGCTCTCGCCGCAAACCACAACATCAGCTCACAGGTCAAAAGCACTCGGCGGCTCATTAACACCAACATGAGAGACCTGAAGACGTTCGCTAACAACACGCCTGCAGTATGTCCTCACAATAACCCGTTTATTTTTGAAAAAACAAAAGCCAATAATATAATATAACTAATATCTATTAATACTGTGTGTCTCCTGCTGCAGCAAGTCGATTACCTGACAGCCCAGTACACCACAGCCAAGAACAAAGTCCTGTCAGACCTCGACAGTAAGCTCGACCCTGCATGTTTGCACACAGTGTTTGTCTGATATCTCTCACTTTACATAACTGTGCTGAACTTTCTGACCTTTCTGTGCTTCCTCACAGACATTGGCCCTTTGCTGGGGGGTAGGATCCACATTCAGCTGGAGAAATCAGTGATTCCTTCGCTGGACACCGCCCTGCGTATGGCAGGAGGTAACGTCTCTGTATAAACCTCCCGTTGAGATTACACAACTCGGACTCACAAACCAGTGTGCAAGTTCTTAAACAAAACTCAGTTGTTCTTTTTAAAAGATGTACTGTAATACACATAAAATTTTAAATTTTGTAGCAAATTTAAGTTTCTAATAAAATCAGGAGTTTTTTAAGTAGTTGCTACGGTTACAGCTAATGCCATTTAAATGCCACAACTTCTCTTGTGGGTTTAATACTAAAGACAGTCTTTAAGGAAAAGTACTCACCATTTAATTTTCATTTCTTTTTCTTTCTTTTTTCCCCTCTATGATTCTCTCACATTTTCTTTTGTCTAAAGCAAAAGTTGAGAGTGCCATCAAAGGTAAAGTGAGCTGAGTGGGACTCAGTGGTGCAGTGTTCGTAGCTGTGTCTGCAAAAGTGTTAGAAGCAGATGGTGATTCTGAACCTTTGTGTTAAGTTGGAAACTGTTTTTTGTTATAGTTTTCCTCTGTGGGTTGTGCCTCTGTGGTCGGTGTAAAAAAGCCCAGCATGCTGTTGTCTCAAGAAAAAGTAGTTTCACTGTGTGTCATATTGCTTGTTGTTTGTAGCCATGCGGGAGACCAAAGAGGCCCTGGAGAACGTCAGCTCGTCCTTGGAGGTGCTGCAGGACGGGGTGGGGAAGCTTCAGGCCAGCCTGTCAGGAGAGCGCGCCTCTCTGTCCAACACCCTGTCCGACCCCGCCTGCACGAACGGAGCTGTGTCACATACCTGTAACACCATCCGCTCCACACTGTCCCAGCTGGGAATCAATGCTGACTTCTCCAAGGTGATAAGAAGCAATATGCCATCTAATACTGGAACATTTTAACCGTGAGAAATATCTCCAGGTTTACTCAGCTTCTTTTTCCTGTCTGTCAGATCCCAGATGTTAATCATGCCTTGGCCAATGTCAATACTGTCCTGAAAACAGATCTCAGCAACATTGTACAAAAGGTTAGTGGCCGTCTCTCACTCAGCATCATCATCTTGTCCATGCTAAAACTTTTTGTCTCACCTGTCATCTTTCTTTTCTCTTATTCTGTTCATCTACAGGGTTACGCATCCTTTAACGACACGCCAAGACTGGTTAAAGAGCAAACAAAAAACATTGTTGCAGGTACACGTGTGTGTGTGTGTGTGTGTGTGTGTGTGTGTGTGTGTGTGTGTGTGTGTGTGTGTGTGTGTGTGTGAGCTAGAGCTCTGTTTTGTAAATGAGATAAGAGTGAGTATAAAGTGTTTCATGTTCTTCTTTCATCTCTGTCTGCATACTTGTGGATGATGAAACTGCAGCTCTGCCTCGTAAGTTTTTCTCTTCTGTGTCAGACACATTATCCCTTTTTCACTTCACCTTAAAACCCCCAGCCTTCCAGTTTATTTCTGTCTGACTTATTTATTGTTACAATTGTGTTTGTAGGAGTAAAGGGGATGCTGGATAAGATCGGTGCAGAGATCACCGGCTTCTCCAAGATGTTCCCCGTGGAAGCTTCTCTGGCAAATTTCACCATTTTCCTAAATGAAAGACACAAAGCTATTGAGTCCTATTACCCCCAAATCGATCAGATGGATTTTTACAGGTTTGTGTGTTTCTCTTTAAAAATCTATTAAGAAAATGTGAGGATGTTAAAACATCATAGATAGAAACAAGGCTGTTAAGGTTCAGCTCTAGTTATAACACACGGTCCTTCTCACTGCTTTTAAAAAATAAATAAATAAAAAGAACCAAACTAGTTGAACAGCTTGTGAGAAATAATCTCACTCTAGGTTACAATGAATTAGGTTAAAGTGGGTAAACCTCTCTGTCTAACCTTCAGGTGGATCGCCTGCGTGGCGGTGCTCTGCATGGTCGTCTTGGTGATGGCCTTTAACATCCTCGGCCTGCTGTGTGGTAACTGTGGCTACGACAAGCAAGCTAGCCCGACCACCCGCGGCTGCCTGTCGAACACTGGGGGAAACCTGCTGATGGCGTGGGTTTCCATCACAACACTCACTCACCTGAAGGCATCACTCAGGGATCTTTTTTTCAGGGTGGAGTTCAAACTGTAAAAGTGGCTGTGATCCATTTAGCTTACAGTCATATAACAAAGGAAGCATTATAAGCACTGAGTACAGGTTTACTTTACAAAAAATGAAGACTCACAATAGTGTTCTTCAAATAAGATTAAATTTAACAGTAAATGCATGAAATAATTATAGAAAGGTCTCAAGTTCAGAGAGTTTCTTCACATTAATACTGGTTTTATCAAAAGTGGACTCTTACGGGATTATCTCTTGTGATATATGGTGGGAAATAACAGCAAAAATATTATTTTTGTCTCTCAGAGTCTGTTTTTTACTCTTGCAGTGGTGTTGGCTTCTCGTTTATCTTTGCCTGGGTGCTGATGGTCATCGTTACCACCCTGTTTGTTGTCGGGGGCAATGTGGAAAAGCTGATATGTGAATCTCTGGCTAACAGACAACTGTTTAAGGTGTTAACTCTCTTTTGTCTTTTATTTTTATTCTGCTGGAGATTTTATTATTTTCACCTTTTATCTGAGCCGTAAAATGGCCAACACTGCTTTCTTAAACTGTGTGTGTGTCTGTAGATCATTGATACGCCGTTCCTGGTCCATCCTGAAAAGAGGAACTTCCTTCCTGGGATGCTTTTCCAGAATCCAAATATTGATTTAACTCTAGGCGGCATGTACAGGTAACATTTAAGTTATCACGAAAAAGTACTGAATCCATTTTTCTAGTTGTTTTTGTAAGAAACTCATTACCTGTAGTTAAGCAGAAAACATCACAGCACTGTGTTTGTGATGATCATGGTTTTGTCTCACAGGGAGTGCTATGACAACAACGGTCTGTATCACGCTCTGCAGTTGGAGACCATGTTCAACATTAACTCCTTCCTCAACAGAACAGTGGTAAGAGCTATGTTACTGTATGTCACCATTACAGGTGCATTGATGGCAGAAGGTGAATGGTAGTTTGACTCTACACGTGTGTTTCACAACAGTACAACAGGGACCTGGCCAAAGTGTTTGATAGTGTGCAGGTGGACCTGCAGGGCATCACGCTGCTGGAGCAGGCTGGCAGAGACAACCTCATCAACTTTGCCAACTCTGGAATTGGACAGATTGACTTTCAGGTTTATCTCACTGAGGTGAGCTGTGTGCATCTGTGGTTGTGTTTATGTTGAATGGCACGATGCACACTGTTTACTTCCTTTATGTCCTGTGCACAAAAAGCCCTTCACTCCGCTTACATGCGCATACACTCAGTAAAAATTATTTCCATTATTCTGCTAATTTTATTTTTCTTGTTTAATGTAAAATATTTTGAATGCAATCATAACATCTTCCAGTTTTGTTAATATGCATAAATAAAATGCATTTAATTTGAAACAGTGATTATGCAACTTTAAAAGCTATCCCTAATAAAAATACCCCCACCCCCAAACAAACCTTAACTAAAACCTTTTATACTAACCATCTTTCATGTGTAAATTCCTGGTTTTTAGGTAAATAAAGGAGTCACTCTAATAGATCTGCTGTCCTTCTGTAGCGACCTGGAGGGTCAGGCTGACCAGCTGGTGAGTCATTAATGTCTGCACATGTGTTGTAGATCAGCATCAACATATTGTATGCATGCGCGGTTACAGCCTTTTGTAGAGCAGTGGCAGTCAGAGGTCCCACTATTGCTCTCTTGTGGATGCAAAACAGGTGAAAAACTATTAGCCACGATGTCACAGTTGGTTAAAATTATGAACACTTGAGCTGCTGAATTAGTCAGGTTCTCACCACAGACCTAAAGTGAATCTTCACATCTGTCTAAATGATCTGATTAAAAGTGGATTTTTTAATTTCATAGTCATGAAGGATGGCACATCTCTGGCAGTACTTGACTTAATACTTGACAGCAGGAATGTCATATATACGTGTTAGACCGGCAATTCTAAACATATAGTCAGACACCCATGTTGAAGGAATTAGGGTTCATGTTCACGTTGCACACATTTATGCCACGTGTTCGGGTTCTGGAGCTTGTTACACAGGGAGATGTTTGCATGTGCCCTTGTAGTGAAACTTATAATAAAACAATGACAAAATATTTGTTTTCAGTTACGTTAAAGACTCAAAATCTATTCTACATTTTCATGGGAACCTAAACAATATACATCTGTAATAACATATTGTATCCTTAAAACTGTGTTTGTTTACAGCCACGTGGTGCTCTGGAGAACGCACTGAGAGGCCATGCCAGCAGCATTAGATTCATTCACCGAGAACAGGTGGTGCCACTGGAGCAAGCAATGGTAATCAACTAACCACAGCACAAATACAAACAGCACTATTAACAGTTCAACACTTATTTCTCATAGCTTGGATAAGCAGATAGGTAGAGGTCTTATTTTATATATTCAGCTACCAAGACGATGAAGATCACCTGTTTATTTTTCTTTAGCAGTGTCCTAGATGAACAGAGGATTTTGAATTGAGGCTTTTTTATTTCAGGCATCACAACAAAAAACTTAAATTTTTTTACCCATTTTTGGGTAAAATGAAAATCATTTTGACCCCATTAATGAAACAAACTGTCAGTGGTTGAGCCAAATGCTGTTTCTGTTACTAAAACAGATACCTACAGGGTTGAGGAGGTGAGGATAATAGTACTTGAGTTAGTATGAAGCAGTGACTCTCATGTAAAATACAACAGCACGTATTTCAGCAGCGTCTCACCCCACATAGAAGGAGAACCTGTGAGTTGGCCTAGCACAGGAAAGCTGGTGGCAAGTGGCCCAGGGAGGATTTGCACATCTGCACATACTGAATGAGGCAAACGTGTAGCATTACACCTAAGCTTTTTTCTTTCTTTTTTTTAACCATTATTTAATAGGGAAATAGTGGTAATTACGTAATCTTAATGAACAGAGAATGTCTTCAGGGACAAAACACATCTACATGGTCTGTTTTTTGCTCTGTTCCTCAGTGTTCCTTCTTTTTGTTCTTTTCTTTCATAATGTGGTGACAGAAATATGTCAGAGCACGGGTAAGCTGCTGTCGATGTGCAGCACTGTGACAGTGATTTATTTTCTTTTTTTGTGTGTGTTGTCTTAGCAACGTCCTTCATGTTGTGACAGCGGTGGCGTGATGTGATGGATGTGTATCTGTAAATAAGGAGGGAGTTGTGCGTGTGTCTGTTTCACCGTGTGACTGCTTGTGCTTTAATCTTCTCACACAGAGTACGCTGCACCAGAGTGTCAAACAGCTACAGAAGACATCCAACGACCTGCCAGTAAATATGAAAACTATTGTTATAGACCACAGATAGCAGTGTAAACAATTGTTTCCTTAGCAACCTATCCACGTTTCGTGAACTAATTTCTTTTGCTTTTATTTCTCTCTGAGGTCAAAGTCACAAATGTCCTGAGTGCCATTGATGCAGCAGAGTACCTCATCGCTCATAATGCCTCCCACGTGGTGAAGCAGGTACATCGATCAAGGCTTCAACATAACATGGTGACATGGAGCATCAAAAGATAAATGTTGAACACACAGCAAAAAGCTCTTTAATCATGCCACAACAGGCTGCAAACTTCCCATGATGCACTGGGCATTTGTGCTCCACTCCTGTCTTCTCTCAGGGGTTTTTACACCAACACTCACATCATTAAATTGTCCCAAAGTGTGCGTTTTGTCTTTGTGTCCTTATGGTCTCCTTTTTCTCTCTTTTCTTTCCCCTCATCCCCCTCTCTGATTCTGCTGGAGATTTCTTCCTGTTAAAAGGGAGTTTTTACTTCCCACTGTTGCCAAATGCTTGCTCATAGAGGGGTTGTATGATTGTTGCAATATTCCCTCTATTATTGTAGGGTCTTTGCTTTATAATCGTAAGGGCTCTGAGGCGACTGGTGTTGTGATTTTGTTCTCTGGTAGCAAACGTGTTGCCTCAGAATAAAGACGACTTGTTTTTCTGTGGCTTATTAGAGTCCCATTGTAAGCAGACTGATTACATTATTATAAATGTTTTTTGTGTTTGCAATCCAAACTTGATTCACTGGCCAAGAACGTCATTATCGTAGTGCTCAAATCAGGTTACATTTTAAAGAAAAGTGTATAAACAAACAAATTTCCCACGTGTGGGACTAATAAAGGTTATCTTATCTTATCTTATAAAGAGCTAATCTTGATCCAACAGGGAAATGAACTCCAGAGCTTGAAATCTCAATCGTGATCATAGTGAGTACTCATGAGTGTTTTTCATTTTTTTGGTTGTAGGAAACAAAGGCGTATGTGCAGGGCTTGGTGGGATACTTCAAACAGTACACAGAATGGGTTAAAAACTCTGTGAGTACTCTGCCATTTTCTCTATTTTTTTCTTCAGTGTCTTTGTACAAAATTTGCAGTATAGTAAATCCTTCCTCTGCCTCTTCTGATTATCTGAGTCAGTGTTTAATTTAGTTTTAGTGTTTAAGTTTTAGTATGGTTTAAGAACTGCTGATTTAACTTGAAGTTAATGAATAAATGTGGATTCTGAAGAGCGATCAGCCAGCATGTGTGTTTTTATCCTACAGCTAACTACAGAGGTGGCCCAGTGTAAACCCATCAGCAACATTGTGGACAGTATGGAAATAGTAGGATGCAGCTTCATAATCGACTCACTGGTAAGATGTCATTGTGGTTACTTGTATGTGTGGATGTGTGTTTTCCCAGCTGTTTGCACAGTGCATGTACCTTCATGTACCTGGATGTAAACTAAAAATATATCTGTGGTTTTATGTGAACTGTTTGGGGAGCTCAGAGTTTTAGGAGGAGAACGGTGTGTTGTTCACAAACACTGAGATTAAATAAAGCCTGTTTTGTGTCTGGGCCGGGGATTTACACACACACATGGATTCTTCCGTGTTTTCACTCCTGACCCTGAGGAGTTATAAAGGTTTATGTTTTTATACTTGCTGTATATCAAGCATGCGACTTCCTGAGAGTTTAATGAGCCCAAACAGGCCAAAGACTGTGAGCAATATAAACAGGATTTTAATTTTTGCACTGCCTGCAGCTACTGTACATTTAGATGTGCTTTGTGTGTGCATGTGTGTGTGTGTCTGTGTGCACGGTGCACACATATTTTAGGCTTCTGTTCGTGAAATTCAGCTGCATAAATGTGTGACATTAGCAGTACTACAACAAGTATATTTATTATTAATTCATTGGTCCATGATGTTATTATGTCTTTAAAAGTCACAGTCCTGACATTTCATTCAGTGATGATTACAAATAAAAAGTCCCCTGATTTAAGAGTTGTTGCATATTAACAAGTACCTTAGCTCAAGCATTTGCAATTACTCTTTTAGTCTACTTTAAACTTGTACATCAGTACATTTCTAAGGTAAACATGTTTTTATGGGACTCTCTACAGCCCTAAAAAAATTAAATACACCCTTACTTTTTCAATAGGAATTAAGGTCGTCAGTTGCAGCCAGATGCTGCTACTCACTGTTAATCACTTGATTCGCTGATCCTCAGCAAGTCTGAAGATCATTACAAAGACGGACATTTTGGTAGTTTGTTGGTCTGGATGTTACAGGTGTTGTGTTAACACACATCTGAATATCCAGATGTGTGTTAACACAATTCCGCAATCTCTCAGGAATGGATGTCCCAGCAAACTCACACTCAAGTCAGGCTCAGAAGGACTGAAAGTAATCCAAGAGCTACATCTCAGACTCTAAAGGCCTCAGTTCATGACATTCAGATTAGAAAAAGACTGAGTAAGTGTGACTTCTTTAGGAAGGGTTGCAGGACAAAACCTCTTACCTCTAAAATGATCGTGGCAGCACGATGAGGTTTGCAAAGTAACATCTGAACAAACCACAAGACTTCTGGAACAATGTCCTCTGGACACCAGAGACCAAAGTGAAGTATTTAATGCACAGCACCACATTTGATGAAAACCAAACACAGCAGCACAAACACCTCATAACGGCGGAGGATGGATGATGAATTGGGTTTGTTTTGGAGCCACGGGAACTGGGCATCTTCCACTTCCACTTCATCTGTGTGACAGATAAAGCTGGACTCAAACTTCTCACACAGAGTCCTGTGTTATCGGGCCAAAATTCCCAATAAATTCATACAGGAAAAGTATCAGGTTATTGATGCTGAAGATGGTTCTACAAGTTATGGACTGAAAGGGTGTACTTAGTTTTTCACAGGACTGTATTGTGTTACAATAATGTTAGAATAATATGAAGCAGGTGGACCATAAATGATAATAATCAATAAAATAGTGGTTTCGTTGGCTTGTTGTTATGTAGAAATATATTATAACCTCCACACAATGTTTCAGTCTCTGCAACCTTTGTCAGGTACAGAGAAACAGGTACAGCCATTGTGCCAAATATGAGTTCTTATTATACCCACATTAATATCAAGATTTGAAATCTTTTTGACAGTGTTTTAGCACTAAAAATCTACTCCGGAGAGTTCAGTGTTTAGTGAAAAGTAACAGCAATGAATGAAATCACATAAAATGTGATTACTGGTACTTTTATTTTCCAGAACACATTCTGGTTTGGTCTCGGCAGCTGCTGCATCCTGCTCATCCCCAGCATCATCTTCTCTGTCAAACTGGCCAAGTATTACAGAAGGATGGACACAGAGGACGTCTTTGAAGAGTGAGTCCAAACCTTCCTCGTTATGCTCCTGGGTTTTTTTCTGATGTAAATCAAAGCCAAATTCATTAATAATTTTCTTTCCTTTTCTCTGTCCATTATTCCTTTTCACGGACACGGATTCTCCTCGTATTTTCTCCTTGTGTTGTATCCGCTCACTCCAGCTCCTCTTACCCATGGCTTGTTGCACTTTAACATAGATAATTCACGCACTTTCTCATCTTCTCCCACACACTTACTCGCTTTTTGGAACGGGACTGTTCAGCTTCGAATCTCTTGAGCTTTTTCACTCTTTCTTCTGAAATCACGAGCTCGGCATTTTAGCTCTTAACATGGACTTTCCCATCACTGCTCGCGCTCTCTTTCTTTCCGATGCGAGCGTCGCTCTCTGTGGATCACTCCATCCCTGTCACTTTCACAGGAGTCTTCCCCTTTTTCATCTGCCCCTCCCCTCGTTCTTCTCTTGCAGTATGGCTAATACAGGTAATCACGGTGAACAGGTGTGTGATATCCATGGAAACCTTGCCATCAGGTACGAGCCGCGTGGAGCTAAATCTGACTTGCATGCTGGAGTGTTAATTGGTGGAGGGATATTTGGAGTCCTGTCAGCGTAAATTTTTATTTACCACATATAGAGATATAAAGAATTCCCTGTGTGTGTGTGTGTGTGTGTGTGTGTGTGTGTGTGTGTGTGTGTGTATTCAGCTCTCCCTATTCTGACACTCTGACTCGGTTCCCTCGGGCCTCTGCCCCCCCGAGCTACTCAGTCTGGTGACCCACTGGAACTCTCTCCCTGCTGATGAGGTATTGACGATCACTGATGACTCCACTAACCCTTACAGCTACGCTAACAACCAGCCATGTAAGACCATCCAGCATCCCACCATCACTCCGCTGATTTCATTTTGACAAAAACATCCTTCTTTTTCCTGACTTCCCTCTTATCTTCTTCATCCATCACTGCATTCAAACATCAGAGCCCACTGAAATGAAGTTTTCTGTGATGGAGGTAACTGCTTATATCCACATGATGCTGCCACGTGTCAGGCATCCAGATTGTGCCTCAATTAGATCAGTTTTCATCCTTGGATATATGCAGTGTTCAGTCAAAGCTGCACAGGAAGAGAGAAAAATCTTTGCTTTTGTGTTTGAAGCGCTGTTGTGTTCTCCAGTTAAAGGAAAATGAGCCTCAACAGGACAAAACAGAAGAAACCTAATGCTCTACTATTTTTCTGAAACATTTTTCTTGTGTTAAGACCAAAAATGAATCAATCTATTATTTGGAAAAACAAACAAACAAGAAAATCTTTTTTTAGATTCCTGAAAGGTCCCTGGTTTAATCCTGGAAGGAGTCACGAACGCACGTAGCTCTGCATGCTTGATTTGTGTTTCCTTCTGAATAACAGAGCACCCAAAACTATTTTCAAACACTAAAAAAATGTTGGCAAACTCGTGTTTTCCCCACCAGTTGTGAAATAACAGTAAAGGCCCCAAAACACAAGTCCTGGCTTTGAATGTGTGCAGGTGAAAACCTCACAGGAAAATAAATTAATAAATATTATTCTGTGTGTAACTCTCACATATTTCAGCTATAGAAATATGAATACAATTCCTGTATACCTGTGTACATGTTTACCCTCCAATCTTCAAAGATTTGTGGAAGTGATTCCCATTGTGTGGACCACAGGAAATCATTTGCTTTTTATAATCATCTACTATGTGGTTTTAAAAAAAAACATCACCCTCACCCTGCAACTTATAATAATAGCAATGACAGTAACAGTCACAAGGTGTCGCAACAGCTCCAGATGCTCTTCCTGATGATTTGACTGATGTTCCAGTCATTAACATAAAACATTACCTTTTCTTTTCCCTCCACAGTGGACAGGAGAACTGGAACTGATCTTCCCTTTGTGGTAAGCGCTCATCTGTATCTCTTCACATATTTCATACCTGACTCTTAGTGCACTTTATTTTTCTAAAAGCTTTCTTCGTTTCCAGGATCACTCGGCTGTTTAGGCTTCCGATTCAGATCTTTTAACACTTCCGAGGACAAAAGGGAAGAACAATCGTGAACTCTGGGATGAAGGCGTCTTTCAGTAGTCCTTCAGGCCATTTGACAAAACCACTAATGCCAGCAAAATCCTATGAAGTGTTTTCTCGACCCCTTTACCATTTTATTATGTACACCAACAGCTGTATATTTAGCTGCATAGAGAATCAATTTGTACTTACATAATCAGTTTTAAACAAGGCAACACAAGTGTACAGTTTTTACACTTTCAAGTCATTTGAAAGTTTTATATATTTTTTGTTAAACTTTGTTTTATAACATGTAAGTAGGTTTGTAGTAATAGCTTTCTTTTTCTCTGTGAATATTTGTAATATAGCTTACATAATTTGCATCAAACAGGTTGCACTTAGCAGGTGTTTATTTAAGGAATGGTTTGACAATTTGAAAAAAAAAAAAGTAGCTACTCGCTTTCTTTCAGAACTGACACAGATCACATCTCTCATGGGAATCTACCAAACAGCTGTGCAGCTGTGTTTTTGACCAAAGAGACCAAAGGTATTGAATTATTCATTTAAGCAGCAAAGCGGCAGCTCTGCTCGGCTCAGTACATCCTTGAAACATGAAGACTGCGCAGTTTACTACAAAGTGTTACAAGCTATTAAATACACACATGTGCTTATTCTATTGAATCAGCTTTTATTTAACTAAATTTAATTAAGTTCCTGTTTATGTTGTTGTTTGTTCATAAAAACTGTATGTAGGCTGTCAACTTGTTTGATCAGCTTCAAAAGTTTGGTAAGCGCTGTTTTAACAGGATTTAAGGAGCGATGACACACAAAATATCATGTTTCACCAGACTGTTAATGAGGGCCTGTTGCTTGTGTTGTCAAATAAAATTCCCAGAAGCCTCTGCAATATTAAAGGTCTGAAAAACACAACTGGGCTTGTGGTGAGGATGCAAATCTCTAAATAAAAACTCAAATCCAGTGTCGTCTGTTTTTTATTGCATAAACATGGTTCATAAATCGCATGTTTCTAAATATAAAGGAAATGTTTTATTGTGTGCAAAACCTTTAAAAAATGACTTAAAAGGAGTTTGATACGTGCTCAGGAAGACACGTGATGCTCATGTGGCACATGCAGAGATGAATTATAGTTAACTAGATGACAAAATATTTTAGCTAAAATAAAATGAACTGAAATGGCACTATGAACTTTTTTTAAAGTGTTTTTTCTTATTACATCTGTCCTGATTTTCTGAAAATTGGCCTCTGACATGTGCTCCATAATAATTAAAAAGATGGAAACTAAACTGAAAATTAGAAAATCCATCCTGAAAACTAAACTGAATTAAAACAAGTAAAAAAAATAAATAAAAGCTAATTAGAAAATACAAAAATAGAACTGCAATGCGCACACAGCAGCTGGAGGTAGACACGTTCACAGGAAGTGATGATGGTGCTGGTGGTGTTAGAGGCAGTGTTGGTCAAGTTACTTGAAAAAAGTAATCAGTAACTAATTACCGATTACTTCCCCAAAAAAGTAATCCCGTTACGTTACTAATTACTTATTTTCAAAAGTAATTAATTACTTAGTTACCTAGTTACTTTTTAAAAACACGATTTACAACCTGAAGAGGTGATAAAGCGATAGATCTTTCAGCCCAATTCTATTTTTTCTGCATAATCCATCATACAAAATGTAATCAAATAGAAAAGTCTCTTTTTAAAACTTGTTTTATTAGTTTTAATCTTTTAACTTTATGCATCAAGCAAAAATTTAATTATATGCAACATTCTGACTGGAAGAAATTTGTTTAACATTTAAACTTATTTTCTGCACATTCCAGCACATAAAATAATTTTTTTTGTGTGTTTACACAGCAGAAAATAAATAACATCAAAGACTAGCGGCCCTGTTGCTCTATTTTCACCTGTAAAGCAGGACTGGCGTAGGCAGAGGTTTACCCTGGTGCAGGTGTGCCGCAGCAGTCAGTTGAAGAATCCGCGAGTTTCTCTGTGAGTTTCCCATTACGTCGTTGCGCACTCGGTGCTTGCTTGGAAGTTTTGGGGGGGTTTTCGGTGTAAAAAGAAGTTTTCTTCCCACGCACAATGGACGCTAATGTTTTTGTCACTTTTTATGGAATCAAACTCAAAGTAACGCAGCGTTCCTACGGGAAAGTAACGGTAATCTAATTACCGTTTTTGCAACAGTAATCCCTTACTTTACTCGTTACCTGAAAAAGTGTCTGTGAAGGTTCTCAGTCATCCAGGTCATCGTAGTCAAAGGAGCTTACAAAGAAAAGCATGAGTGGGCGTTAAGGCGTCTGGGAAGGGATCTCAAAAGAGATCCCTTGAGATCCCTTCCCAGACACCTTAACACCCACTCACATCCTGGGCCATCTGATCTCAGGAATTCGCATGATAATGTGGGGCCAGGTTTCACAATGAACTCACCCGAAACTCTGGCTGATTGGGACCCACACCCAGTTTCACACCTTGGCTCAGGCTATTAGAGGATCATCAGGGGGTCCTTTTGTCCCTCTGTGGGGGGAAACTCCCACTAGGTTTATATCTGGGACTCTCCACCATTTGACCTTAGAACTGAAGAAGCTTCTCGGATGAGAGGTGAAACGTCTTCAAGTAACTTAAAGAAGTCCAGACGCTTTTCTTTGCAAGCTCCTTTGGTTACCTGAGAAAAGTAATCAGAAGTAACGCGTTACTGCCCATCTCTGGTTAGAGGTGGTGTGATGCTGTTGCACCGTATGAGAAGAGAACTAAATACAGGAAAACATGGTGCAGACAGCCCACACACATACACATCCTCAGCGTTTCTTCCAGCTGAGCTTTTCCCCCCTTCACTAGGCTAACCGCCATAAAAATAAAAACTCCCAGAATGCACTGAGGCTGTGCGTGCACTTACACACTCTTTCACTCAGCAAACAAACCTGCTAGCTAATGCGGAAATTTTCAGTCTGGTCTGACTTTGAACTCAGGCTCTCCAGACTGGTGGTGCCCAAGGAATGGGAGTGCTTATGCAGTAGGGGGTAAGGGGGATATTTAAATTTAAACTACCAGGCAGTAGACCTACGCCATGCCTGCTCAATCCAAACAGCTCACAACATTAACAGCTCATGTATGCAAGAGCTGCCAACAGAGTCGCTGTGTGCATGTGGTAAATGATAAATGGACTGCTGTTTCTTGAGTTCACTATCTTCAGATAGATTCCCGGCTCTAACTAGAAGAGCCACAGGGATCAAACCGCTGACCTTCCACTTAGCAGATGACCTGCTCTACCTCCGCCCGCAGACTCTAGAGGTGCCCCCGGATGTGAGATTTGCAGTCAGACCCTCTCAAACTATCAGGATAAAACATTTTCTCCAGGTGCAACCAAAAACACTCCTGTAGTGTAAGATATGTACTGCAAGTATAACATAATTTACCATCTTTGGGAACTTTGAGAGACGTCCTAGAAGTCCATTTCAATTAATTCTGCAACAAAAGTCATCAAACATCTAAAGATTTGTTGTTTTACTGAGTCACATATCAACTCTTAAATCTCCACCAAGTAACCTGAGCCTGCAGTGTGGCTCTGGAGCCTCACTGCTCCCCCCTCCTGATCAATGGTCAATGAACCTCTTATGTGACACTGCATAATGACTTGCAGCTATTTGGCCTCATGCGTGTTCTTCAGACCTCTTAATTCTCCCTCGGCTCCCACAAGCCAACCCCCCTCCTTTTCCTGTCTTCATCTCTAAGTTTATGTTCACCCTTTCCTTCCATACGTTACTCCTTGGTGTTTTTTTAGCATACCAAACGAACCTTGTGGTTGCTCTGTGTGTGTCTGTAGCATAAGGGAGGGGTTAAAACTTTTCCGCTTAACTGAATAATGCCTTCTTTGTGAGCTTCAGCTTTATAAATTCCCAGTTGCATGCTTTCCGTCCTTCCACACCTTAACTTTCTTTGCGGACACATCAGCCCTGAGCCCTTGCCTGTCCATCAGTCCACGCTGAACACCATGAGAGCTGGGTTGAGGCTGTTGCTGCTGGTTTCGGCAGCAGCTGTTTGTGTTTCAAATGCTCAAACCGACAACAGCAGCGACAATGACAAGCAGCAGCAGCGCAGCATCTGGGATGAACCCATCAGATTCAGCACCAAGACCAAAGACTCCTGCACCATGGTGGTGTCTGCACCAGAGAACTACACCCGCCTTCGTGTCTCCTGCAAGGGCCAAACCCCAGGACGCTCTTACCACTGCGACTTCCAGGGCAAACCCACCCTGTGCCGGGCCTACAACCAGAACCCTCGCCACTACTTCACACAGATGATGTGGGAGTTGAGGAAACTGAGCCACGCCTGCCAGGGAACTAAAATCTACCGCCCGCACATGTGCAAGAAATACCCAGATGAGACTCAGATGACCTTGCTGGCCTCCTGGCCCAAAACAGCCAACTTGAAGCCCTCCAAGCCCGCTCAGGAACCACGTAAACCAGCACTGCCAGCTCAGACCAAGCCTGTTACTTCTCCTAAACCTGTGAAGCCCAATAAGCAGCCAGGCAAGGGGCGTCAGAGCAGGAAGACTACTCCTAAGCCTGAGAAAACCAGTGATCACCCGACGGAGCTGCCTGAATCCACAGCTTCCCGTCTTGCATCCGATTACTGCTGGAAGAGCTTCCAAGGCATCTGCACCTACGTCATCAACTGGTTCCAAAACTGAGACGATACCGCAGCCACAGGTAAGTGACGAATGAAGGAAAAGAAAGGGCAAAGAGGGAGTGATCTTAGCAATGAACACGCTTATAAACTTACATTTTTAATGTGAAAATGTGACTTTTTCTTGTCATTTAAGTTTGAAAATGCTAGTACAATATGTTCCTGAGTGCTTTTTTGTTTTTATTTCAGTTGGAGTGCCCCATCCGCACTTCCATCTTTGACCTCTGTGTGGACGCTCCTGGAGTCATTTGATCGAACTCCTCGCGTTACAGCACCCAACAGACTGAGACCAAAACCCTTGACCTACACCTGTGTGCAATTAGCAGATGATTTCTTTCCTGTAGTGTCTTTTTTTTTTTTGAATGTGTCAAAATGACAGCAAGACAAAGGAGAAAATATAGCAGGCATGTGTTTCTGTTTGTATATGATGGAAAATTCCCTCCAGCTTTAATTGCAGAAGAGAATAAAATCCGAGTGGTGGCCCTCCTCTTTTCTGTGTCCCTCTGTTTCTTCTTCTACTGAGCTGAAACAAAGCAGAGAGCTTTCACGCTCATTTATTAAAAGGAGATCTTGTTTCTTTCCACCCTTCGGCTGGAGCACCGCGACTGCTGTCCAGCTGGGGAAGCTGCTACCGTGCGACACGAAGTCTGAAAGAATCCATGAGGTGCAGGAGGTGTCTGAGCAGAGCTAAAAACGTCTTTGTATGAGCTGATGAATTGAGTCCTGAGAGCTGCTGTGTGCAGGAACAGAGGGGGTCTGTGTGCATGCCGAAGACGAGTGGAAATGGATGTGGTGGCCGTGAAACACACACACAATCTGATAAAGACGGGAGAGTTATGTCACATTTAGCACTTTGATTTTTTTTCAGTCCCAAAGACGGAATAAGCAAAAAAGAGGAAGTAGAAGTCCTGTGTGATATTGCAAATTTCTATCATTTACTATAAGTTCTATAAGTATAGGAAAAAGTCTTTGAAATTTAAATGTGTTGTAAGCTAAGTAAGCTAAGCAAAAAAAAAGTGAGAATGACAACGAGCCAAATCAAAGTGAGAACTGTGTTCTCCGTGTTGTGCTCTCTGACCATAAGAAATCTATAGAATTTGTTTCAGGTATTAATATAAGACTAAAACAAACTCTATAGTTTATTATAGGCCTGATTTAATATAATTACAACACTGGAATGTGTGCAGATTTAAAGAGGAAATTGGAAGCACAAATATAAATATAAAAACCTGCAACTATTATTGCTGGAGTCAATCGTTCATCATTTTACTTTCTGTATAATCTTTGCCTTTAACTACCGTGGAGTAGAAAGTACTGTACTTGTGATCTGTTTTTAGGCTGTTTAACCTGTGGTGAACACAAGATGATGCTGCTGAGCTTGGAGCTCAAAAACAGATTGGTGTTCTTTTCTAGTGGTGACATGAAGGTGTGAAGAGGAGCAACCAAAAAGTTGTAGAGCTGCAGAAGTGTCCTTGCTGTGAGATTTTTCCTGAAATGTGTCCAAAACAAACATGGAGACAAACAAGCACAAAGTCATAGTTTGCATCACTTTAAAGGACTTTACACTGACTTGCAATCATTTCCTGAAAGCATACGATAACTCTCTAAACCAAGTCCTCACCAATCTAATCCAATTTTATTTATAAGGCACTTTCAGATACCCAGCACAGGAACAAAGTGCTGTACAGAAAATAAGTTAAAAACAATAGAATAACAGAAAACAGCAAAAATAAATAAAAACATAATGCATAAAATTAAAACAGCCCTATATTAGAACAAAAACAAAAACAAGATAAAACAGCATCGAATCAACTAAAAACGACTAAAATAAAAAATAAAATAAAAATAAAAACCAACATCTCACGTGGTGTCAAAGGCCAGGGTAAAGAGGTGGGTTTTCAAGAGTGACTTAAAAACAGCTAAAGAACTGGCCTGTCTAATCTCTAAAGGGAGCTCGTTCCACAGTTTTGGAGTTGCTACAGCAAAAGCACGATCTCCTCTAAGTTTACGCCCAGTCCTGGTACATTCAGGAGCAGCTGATCAGCTGACCTGAGAGAGCGGGTGTGTATAAGGCTGTGGCAGCTCAGAGAGATAAGATGGGGCTAGGCCATGGAGAGCTTTAAAAGCAAATAAAAGAATTTTAAAATAAATCCTAATAGAAATGGGCAGCCAGTGATGTGAAGCTAAAATAGGGGAAATGTGCTCAAACTTTCGAGTGCCAGTTAAAAGATGAGCTGCGGCATTTTGCACCCTCTGTAGATGAGTAATATATGATGCGCTGACCCCAATATAAAGTGCATTACAGTAATCCAGCCGAGTGCTAACAAAGGCGTGGATCACTGTCTCAAAGTGCTGTCGTGAAAGAATTGGCTTTATTTTTGCCAGCTGCCTGAGCTGAAAGAAGCTAGATTTTACCACTGCCTTAATTTGATTATCAAACTTCAGATCTCAGTCCACTCACCTTAAATGATTTACAATTTACAGTATTGTGCAAAACTCTTGAGTCCTCCTTTACTTCTCTATATTATAAAAAAAGGGAAAAGGTACAACCTCTTGGAGGACACTGCACAACATTTCTTAAGGATGTGACTTTCAGATACTGTTCATCTGCAGTGGACAGTTGCTTTTGAGCCTGTTGATTCTTCTTTCCTCTTATCCAGTTTCCCCATATTTTTAAGGACTCACTGCACACCTTGTGCCACATTTTCAGCTAATAGTTCTTTGGGAATCACCTTGTTGGTGCAAAAACACTATTTTTTGCCTGTCAAACTGTTACCTGGTATTTCTTTTACAGATTCGACTAAAGAAATGGGAACAATTCACGTGTGAGCTATGAGGAGTGGTCAGTTACTAGATACAAGTAACATGGAGTTATGTAATTTTACACTTGTGTAGGTAAAACAATCTTTTCCTATGATGGGAAATCAGAATATATGCAGTAAAATAAAATAAAAAAGACCATAAAACATTGGTCTGGATTAGACACATATGTGTGCATCACAAGAGAACTCATACCAGACTTTTGCTTATTTAAAATTCAGAACAGCAACTTTGTGCCTCTGGTCTCTCTGTAAGACTCCATTAGTTCTGTGTTTGATCTCCACCAACTCCAGGGAAGATGGATATTTGGTTCTTTATAGGGAACTATGATCAGCAGCTTTATAATCCCTAATGGTATTTTGAGTTTAACATGGAAAATTGAAGTTATGATCCAATTCAATTCAATTCAATTTTATTTATATAGCGCCAAATCACAATATAAGTCGCCTCAAGGCGCTTCATAGATACAGAGAAAAAAACCCAACAATCATATGACCCCCTATGACCCCCTATCCAAAGAATACAGTCTTTTTTCATAAGAATGGATTGTCCTCATGTTTAATTTTTATTGTCCTCTTTTTAATCTTGGTTATTATTAGATGATCAAGAATCTTTTTATAAAAACAGGGGGAAAAAGAAGAAAAAAGAAGAAGAAACACAAAACCTGCGAACATAATCTGGGGACGTATCTCCTGAAGACAGCAGAGGGTTGGAGTTGTAATGGTAATCAGGCTCATGGTGGCTCTTTAGGATCAACCAAGAACGTGTACTGGCATGCTGACACATCACCCACTGATCATCTTCACTTCTACTCACTGTAAGAGGTGGAAAAATCCGTTTTGGGCATGTCATAGCAAAACATAATCTGATAAGGAACTGCTGCCACATTTTCTCATTTAGATTTCTATAGTGCTCTCTCTCTCTCTCTCTCTCTCTGTGTGT